TATAATTAGAACAGCTTTAACAAATTAAATCTAAAAAATCTGAAAAAAATATATATTAAAATATGTGATATTATCTTTATTTTAATGTAAAAATAAAAAATATATATTAGTAAAGTTAAAAACTTTTATATAAAAGGAAAAATTTGCATTTTACTATGTTTAATTAATAAATTTTGACATTGTTGCATTATTTCTGATTGCCACTGTAATTTAAAAAAGAAAAATTTATCAGAAATTTCTGAAACAAGTCTGAATACTTTTTGGATTAATTAATTTTAATATTTGTATTTTTTTAAGAAAATTCTGGATAAATTTAACAAAGTATTTCCTGAAATACTTTAGATATCTTACTTTAACTTATTTATTTATTTAACTTTTGACTTTTGTTTTTTCAATTATTTTCATTTATTTTTCATGTATTTAACACTTTTATTAATTCAATTATTTTTTGTATTAAAAACTTCTACTTTGTTAATAAATATTTTTGATTTTTACACTGAAATATTATATCCTGAAACCAGTGTTCCAATTCAAAAAGATTATCATTCTTTGGTTTGTCTTTATATGACAAATTAAATAGTGGTAAATTCAGTTATTTTACAAAATAAATAAACTTCTTTACTAAGAAGTAAATACAAAATTTAATCCGTGAATATGCTCAGAAAAAGCCTATTCTATCGTATTCACGGATTAAATTTTGTATTTACTTCTTAGTGAAGAAGTTTATACATTTTGTAAAATACAAACGTTGACTTTATGCACCATAAGAAGTAAATACAAAATTTAGTCCGTGAATGTGATAGAATAGGCCTTTTCTGAGCAGATTCACGGATTAAATTTTGTATTTACTTCTTAGCAAAGGTGTTTATACATTTTATATATTACAAATGTTTGATGACTTTGGATGTTATGCACCATAATTATGTTAAATATAAATATATATATGGGGTGGAGTCAGTTGAAAAGGGACAAATCTATTAGGATAAATTATCCCTTTTCTACTGATTCCACCCCATATACGTAATCCGGATTTTAAAAATCGGATGAACCCGAAAAACAAAAAAAATCCGATTTTAAACCCGGAAAATAAAAATGCGGGTTTCTTCCGATTTTAAAATCAGAAAAATTCAAATTTTCGGAGAAAAACGATTCGATTTTTTTATAATAAATGAAGCATTTTATATTTATAGCTTGAGACATTTTAATTTAATATGAATTTCTGTTTCTCTCGTGCAATGTATCACAACCGAGATATTCTTACTACATGTAACTTGGATTAAGTTAAGAAACTTTTTTCAAAATGCACTAATCAGGATATTGTTCAACAAGTGTTCGACTACGTAATAAATTTACGTAATATACAACCAAAACAAATTAGAGACTGGCATGACAAATAAAGCTCATGCAAGTATCCCCCTATGTCGAACAGCTAAATTTTAGTTCTTTTACAAAATATTGATGAAAATAAGTTATGCGACAATTAATTTAGTCTGCTTGATGCTTAATCACTTAATTTTACTTGATAATATCGATAAACGCTACTTTTAACCTATAAAATACAAGAACTGGTACCAGTGCAGTTTCAATTCAGTAGAATCATGTAACGTCAGGCCCTTAAAGATAATGGTGTTAACCTCTGTACATGTGGTTTAAATACGTACGACTATGTATCACAAGTATAGAACTTATCGCTCTTGCTTTGGATATCGATATTTTTTTACCAAAAGAATCTATTTTTCCATATTTGTATTACATGTCCATATATAACATTCATGCGTATAACAATGATCAAAACTGTTCCATTATCGTTATCGAATTCAAACAATATGGTTGGGGATTTATTATACCGGAGAAATTTTATTGGATCATTATAACAAGTATCAGTATATCAAGGTTTGATTGTGTTGTTGAGGGATAATTTTGTAGGTTTTCGATTAGATATTGGGTGGTACGACAATTATGGGAAGTGCTGAATAATAATTTTTAAATTTTCAAATCTTTATTCGACAAATTTGGCAATGTTATGATCCTTTTACGGATTTTGGTGAGAACTTACCCGCATATACAATCTAAATGTGAATTCAAGAGTATATTTGCTTATACGTATTACGTATCTAATTGATCAAGTAAAGAGTTGTGTTTTTCAGAGCGAATATCAAATTACGTACATGTAATTAAGAATCGTTGATGTATGCGCCATCAGTTGGGAGAAATCCAACAAGAAAGTTGAATACACGTGCAAGTCGATGTAACGGACTCTCTTTAGAAAACTCAAACCTTAATTTAGTCCAATTTTTTTTAGTAGAACCAATTATTGTTTGCAAAATACGTAAATAAATTAAGACTCACAATGTAATTTCTCAAAAACTTTAACTTAACCTCAAGGTCATTAATTTAGTAAATAAAGTTTAAATTTTCTAAAGAGAGTCCGTTACATCGACTTACACGTGCAACGTGTAAACGAGTTTTGTATTTCCTAACTTACATCATCAAAATTTTTTGAGAGGCAAGGTATCTTTCAATTCTTATGAACAGCGTTTGAAAGTGTTTGTTAAATTATGAAACGCAAGAGAAACATTGAGAATAGACGATTTCCTAGAAATTTTTCCGAATGTATTCCAAGACATTCCGTAACTTAGCAAACGAACTTCAAAGCCTCTTTTCATAGTTTTGTATTTTGATAAAATTTTGAGCTTATGTCAGAAATTTTAAGTTGATTCTATTGTCAAGTCTATATTACTTTTATTAAATCTTTGAATGACATATAAAGTAAATCTATTAATTATCTATTAACTATTTTTGTTTAATACTAAAATAATAAAACAAGATATAGAAACTTGTTTACGATATGCTATGGACATTTGAAGAGTATTTTATCTATTCAGAAATTATTCATGAGAAAAGGTTAATAAAATTGAATGTGAATACATAATTCAGGATTTACCAATTCTGAGAGATTTAATTATGGTTTAGCATATTAGTCGCATCTCTCTATAAGAACCAGGCAGGTTGGAAAATAAAGAAATTGTTTATTATGTTCTTATGTAATTTTTTTATGACTTATTTGGATCAAATAAATTGGGTGCTTATAGTTAATTTGTTCTATACGTATAGTGTTCTTATAGAGAGCACGACTGTTATCGTTATCATATAAAATTACAATAACGATAAAATGATTAAGCTTTCCGAGCCCATACCATATGATGATTATGATGATCATCATATTCGAAAATTTCATAATCGAAAATAGATTGAACTACCGAGTCGTACTCCTTATCTGTCCAACTGGTAAGTTTCGCGAGCCAAGGTTTCATAGCGTAAGTACCTTCTTTTAAATTCGCTGCCCATATCTCTCCAATTTTACCTCCTTGTCTATATTTTAAAATAAAATATTTATGGAAATTAATTTTAGGATAAAAAATCAATTTTTTATTCACAAAACTATATCGATATATGCATACCTTCCAATTGCTACAGATATGTGCGATGAGTGTACATCTTCGAATCCAGCCATCGTAATTCGTTGGCTTAGTTCACACGCCAATCGAAAGCATAGACCACGTGAATTAAATGCTCCTTCAACTTTAATTAATAAATTGTTAATTATTTTTTGAGGGTTGTGAATTTCAGAAAACAGTTAAATATAATTCTTACAATATCCAAACATTTTTCTAAATTTCGGACCAGGGTTTACGGCTAAATTTTTTCATTAAAGTTGTGATTTGTAATTAACATACATCTATTTGTTGAGAAAAAGAAAACTTAATAATATATCACTTACTAAGTCCATCACACTCATGATGTTCAAGTATTCCGCCTGGTTTTAACACACGCTTAATCTCATGATATAAATTCTGCCAATCTGCATCCATAATTCCAACGAACAAATATCGTACCCAAATAAAATCAAAGTAGTTATCCTCCCAAGGTAAGCGTTCCGTGACATTACCGACTATGAAACGTGAATTTGCCGGTTTGATAGTAGTTGGGAAACCCTCGTTTATATCGATGCCGAATACTTCTGCTTGTGGGAATTCTTGTGCCATTTCTAGTGTCCATTGGCCTGGACCACAACCCAAGTCCTTAATAAAGTTCGTATTAATTTAAAGTTTTGAAATCGACGATGCTATTATTTTTAATTACCAGTATCCTACTTCCAGGTTTTATTATATCAGCAATCGGAGCCGTGTAGTTTCCTCCACAAATGTGTTTGAGCGTGAAATGTTGTTGATGTAAACGATCATCCTCTTCAGTATCTGCGGGCATCTAATGATAAATAGTTACGCTTAAAAAATTTTTATAAAAAACGAATTTTATAAAACTTACTACATATGGTACAACATTAACATCATAAAACTTTCGACCTTCGATATATTTAAATTCTTGTTGTTTACTATTAGCAGCACTTCCCTCAGTATTTCTTGTATGTTTTTGTTTTTTATGTTTATCTGCTGTTTTGTTTCTCTTGTTTTTATCCACAGATATATTAATTCCCATTACTTGGTATCAATTTCAATATATAATAATATAGATAAAAAGTTACGTGTTCTATTCAATAAATCTAATTTTAAGCTTCGACTTTATGTGAGATCTTTCACGAAAAAATACGGAAAAATAGTTTTTACTCTTGAAAGATCGGTGTGAAAAGTAAACTTAAACAAACAAATAATCTCGAAAATAATATGCATACGCTTTTACGTATTTTTTATTGATCTATGAGTGTGCTAATGAGATTTCTCAAAGAGATATCGATCTAATTTGTGATTAAACAGGAAACTTGGATAACAATAACACGGTTTTAATATTTTTAATTTATTGGATCCTGTGTTTTTTATTTTATTAGACATTGTGTGTTTGTTTATTTCATATAGAGTTGCTGTTTTTCGTTTTATTTCTGTATCAAATTTGTGTTGTGGAAAATTAGCAATACGTACATGTAATATGATCTACCATGAACAATATAAGTATGTACATGCACGTACATGGAGATCGCGTCCAAAAAAAAGAAAATACGGTGATCGTCAACATAACGGATTGAAATCTGGAATAGTCTATATAATACGTAGTGGTAGATATAACGGGGGTTTAATAGTATCCCATCGATATAGCGGATTTTTGAACGTCAATTATATCGACGGTTATTGTGTACATAACATATTATATCTAAATTCTAACATAAAGTCAACCCTCAATATACTGATGTTTCGTTATAACGGTGACTGACTAATTAAAACACTTATAAAATTTCCTTAGGAAACAAAGTAAGATAAATGAAATTAATAGGTTGAGTTGATTTTTCATTTTATACGATATGACGATTTTCATAAATTCTTGATCTAACGTAACTGCAGAATTCCAGATCATACAGCGGAAAAATCACAAATTTTGTGTGCTACGTACATGCATGTTACTGTTACGTACTAAAAAATGGTAACGATAATATACGTAACACCAATTAAATTGAATAAGATACGTAACACACGGAATATTTCAAATATAAGCTTAGTCATTTTGTGTGTTACATGTATTAATAATTTTCTAGATTCAATTCTTTTTAAAAATGATTTTCTGAATACATGTTCATGTATTCTCAGATTGATACATGTACATTATCGTTATCGTTATCGTTATCGTTATCATCAAATAATGATTAATTCGTATTTTGATTTCGTATTATCCATTACTCTTGTACATGTACATGTATTAAGGTTTCTTTAGAAACGCGTTTATAATATAAAAGTAATATACATGTATAGCATAAAGATACGAGAATATAAACAAGAAATGAATTAAAAAGACAAATAAAATGATGCAAGAGACCCTTGATATAAGAGACAATGTGGACAGAACAAGTTTCTCTTGTTGTCGAATCAAACACTAAGAATTAAGGTCCAGTAATATCAAAAGCATAATGAAGTGGTATTGAAAGCTTTACAATACTAATACAAATTGCTACTGTATCGTATCTCTCTTATACATGTAAAATATCCCCTTTTCCCCTATGAATCATAATAATTATCTATTGAATCCATAGATTGTTTATCATTGCATTTTGTGAGGAATTTGTATAACAATTCCCATCGTGGACTTAGATAAATACGTACAAGTTTAATTTGAAATATATGCATATTGCTTTATCGTGACCATCTCCCAGTGAATATGTTTACATACCGAATTTTCAGGACGCCCACATTTCTTTGTTATACATACTAGAACTTGTACATGTATTAGATGTCATTTTTTGCAAATCTGAATTGGAATTTTAAAACATTATAATAATATATTTAGAAACAACTTCAATATGTAAAATATCATTTGTTATACATGTACATGTAACATATATACAGTACATGTACATGTAACATATATACAGTATTATATATATTATACATGTATATCGATATATTACATAATAGTGATAAATTAATTAAGAATAATTAATTTAATTAATTGTGGCAGATTAAAATGAAATGAAATCTAGTAGGGTATATAGATAATCAATGACAAAATTTAACACATGTACTCTGAATCCATACTTAACCCTTTTCCGTAATTGCCATAAAAAAATACCCGAATTATTTAACCCTTTTTATAATTATTCAAAAAAGGTCATCAGATTTCATTTTAATCTGATTTCGGTTTAATCTGTTACATTAATTAAGGATAATTAATAACGATAATATTGGTATTATGGATCAGACAGAAACAGAGTAACTTTGCCACATTTACAACACATAAAATAGTTAATGAGTGACATAACTAGAAAGGCAGTAATTATGTCAAATTGATGAGGAGATGAAACTGAAAAGTATTACTACCAACAAATAAAAAACAGCAGCAAATGCAATTCACACACGACTTGCACAGTAATGATTGTTAGTTATAATGTTAGCATATGTCCCGTGAGGGTTTGATACTGTTACCGAAAGTTCAAAGTTAGTCTCAAAATATTTTTAAATCAATAGCGAGGATAATCAAGATAAATTTTAAGCAATTTATAAATTTTTTATTTTTCTTAGCATACGTTTAACAGTTTATATTGATCAAAACTAAAGATGATATTTCAATTAATTGCAACATTACAACAATCAATTTAATTGTGACCATTGTGATCCCATCACAGTGATATATCCGCAGGCTTTGACATGGAAATAGTATAGGTGAGGGCATGAGCTCGTAATTGCATATAATCTTGTTTTGTTATTACTATAACATATTTTTCGAACTTATTTGTTAACTTTAATTAGTATACTGTATATAGCGATAATATTTAGAATACAAATTATTTGAAAAAGATCAGATTTAATGAATACTTTTCCGTATAACAATAACTGGGATTACTGTTAAACTGAATTTGACATAGGTAAGATCGTTTAATTAACCTCCATTATTATTATTATTAAAGAATTATCCCTGTCAAATACAGCAAAAAACGAAAAATACCAAATAAAGAAAAAAATTGATACTTACTATTGTGAAAAGAATTTCAATAAATTTGATCCCATAGCTTTCGATCAAATTAGCGTAATCATCAATGTCATTTCTAACAAAAGATACGTTATGTAACCACAAATATTCTTCAGAAATTTTTATCGATTCTATAATATCTCAATGCATGTGTAAATGCTGCATCATAAATTACAAGAGCTGATTTGTGGTGGAAGTGACTGCCCCAAACGAAGCAATTTTCCACTTATATTTAAAATATAGAAATCGACATGCTCGAGTTTTGGGCAAGGTTCTACAAAGATGAAAGCTGCTCTAAGTTTCACTCTCCCAAACTTAGAGCTCGTAATTACGAGAGTTATAAGTATATAAAGTAATAATTTCGCGAATCCTTCATCAGAAGTATATAAAACTTGAGTCTCTTGAATGAAAAGATACTGGAGATTATCACCACTTGTTCGATGGCATTTTTCTGAATGTTCTCCCTCTAATCACTAGAAATTTAAATTTTCGTGTTTCTATCCACGAATTCTACTCTATTGCATCGCATTCATAAAAATCCAGGCAGAGAAGATTTACTTAACCCTTCGATTGTTAACTCAGACCGGAATAGGTTAAAGTCAATTTTGTAAATCTAATAACGCCGAATGATTGAAGACACTACTGATAAATGCAAATTCTTTGAGACCAACATTGATTGCTGTATCTAGGGTTCCGAAAAAAAGTCTGGTTCGGTTCGAGCTTGAACCGGACTTGAACCTGACCAAAAGTCCGGTTCGAAAATTCGAACCAAATTAAAAGTCTGGTTTGAGTTCAGTTCGAACTTCGAACCAGTTCTAGCCATTATGCCTTTTTAATTTATCACCATCGGTGATTTCAATCGTTTAATAATTGAAAGTATCTCTTGAATCCTTATTAAAGGTAATTCCACGAACTGAATGGTAAGCAACGGTTAGATTTTCAAAAGAACTCTTGAATCCCCTTTTCATTCTTTATTCCCGATACTCTCAATTTCTTGAGATTGTTAAAAATCAAATTAGGTTGACATCCGCGAAGAATCAAGTGCAAATTTCAACATCTTCGCTCAAATTATAATAGAATGACTGGATAAACTTCGCTTTTGTGAGAAATAGTTGACATAACGCGTTAGACAATGCATTATGTTTTTGCAGTTGTTTGCCCATCAGAGGGTCAATTTTTTGGTTTAACCACGCTCCTGCTGCCTGTGGTTCATAGTGTCTTAAGAACGAAGTATAATTAAATGTGGCATGCGGTTGGCTGATTTCATTTTAAAAAGAGTGCCAAAAAGGCTGACATACACATTTATGATTTTCGTCAATTGTGAACTTTTTGCCAAAGCTTTGTCGGATAATACCTTCCTTCGTACTCATAAAAAAGTTGACCTTCGTTATTTTGAACTTGAGGTAATGGTTCTTCCCTATCAACGAGTAGACATCTGAATAGTGACGCTTTGTTAAGATCTTTGAATATTTTTTGGCGTATTTCAGTTGGTAAGAATTGAAAAATTGAGTTGGTTTCTATTTCTGAATTCGCATAAATTTTCTTTTGGTATTTGATAATACCGTATTTTTCTGCCAATAGTACCCCGGGTCTCTTACATTTTAGGAGTTTGAAAATTGATTAGTACCCTCTGGTACGTTGTATGGGGGAGGGTATTTTAAAATGGAGAGTTTATGTAAAGGGGATACTTAAAATGATGGGTACACGGGGTTATAGTATAAACTGCACTGTATTATGCTACATGTATTTAGAGAAATCTTTAAGTTAACTTTCTAGTACAGTACAGCGCCATGCAGTACAGATAGTCGTTTCATAATTTTACTCGGAGACAACCTTGATTAATCCTAGGGTACAAATCCGAGGGTATTTTATTAAAGGGGTGCTATTTGCGGAGAAATACGGTAAATAGGCTAGTAAATTTTATAAACTTTGCCATACATGTGCTGCATATGAAATTGCACAGTACATAAATAACTAGGCGATAGTAGATGATGACGAGAATCTTTCTTGAACAGAATTTAATCTTTGCA